ATATTTACTTTTATATTCCTCGTTGACAGTCAATTGACAGCTGTCAACTGTCAATTTTGCCAATCTGGCATGAGAATTGAATTCAGCTCCCTCAAAAGCCCAAACTCTCAATGTGAAAAGAGAATATTTACTTTTCTATTCTTCGTTGACAGTGTATTGACAGCTGTCAACGGTCAATTTGTCCAATCTGACATGAGGGTTGAATCCAGTGACCTCAAAAACATTACCCTATATATTAGAATAATTAAAATATGCTTTTGACATCTGTAAATAGTATTGAAAATGAATAGTTTTGCAACGGGTCAGGGGAGCTTTGGCAGCTCCGTAGCTGCCAAAATGTTCATTTTGGCACTTTGTGCCCATGGAGACTTTTGTTCAGGATGACAAAATCTAGAAATCAAAAATTCAGACAATTTGACAGAAACCCAATTTCCATAAGATTATTGCGGGGTCCTTTAGAGTATGTAAATATGGTGTTTGTTTATGGTTTTAGTAAGGGGAATGCTAATGCTGCTATTGAAGAATATTATCAACGATTTCCACATCACAGATGTCCTGATAAAAATGTATTTATCAGAGTTGTCAACAAACTGTGCGAGACGGGAAAGCTTCCCAATATAACATTTGAACAAGCTCATTGACAAGATTTAGAAAAAATTGAAAATATTCTGGGTCTAGTAAAAGATGATGCAATTACTCAATAATAATCATTTAATACTCGGAATTCTCATGATGGTCTGACAAAAATCTTCACGCAACACTCGAAAGTAATTTTCAGTATAGGTTTTTGGTAAACATGTGGTGTGGTATGATCAATAGTTATTTACACAAAACATGTTATTTAATTGGCCCTTTCATTGCGGAGAATCGACTCACAGGAGACTACTACTTAAATTTTTTACAAAATGAATTACAAGTACTACTACAATGGAGCTGGAGATAAGATTTTTAACGGTTTTTTCGATATCTATCTACAAAAGTAACAAAGCAAACGATATTTACAAAAAACTAGTCAATAGATTTTTTTAGAACCTACAAATTTTTCATTTAAAATTTTTTGATTCAAGTTATAGTTTATTAGTTATTTTAGAAAAACCGTTTTTTGAAACTTTGCAATTTTTTTTGTCCATGTTCGCCATTTTGTATCGAGTTTAAAGAAGAAACTAAATTTAAAATTTAATTTCCTATACGATCAAATTTTTTTTCAGATAATAATTTCTGTAAATTTAACATTTGGCCGTCATAGAATGCTTGAGCTATACTTGTAGCATCAGACAAGCAATTACATATACCGTCAATTTTTTATTTTTTTTTCAAGGGATATAATTAATAACGTTGATCAATCAATATGTTACTTTATGATAATATAAAATTCGTTTTATAAAATTTGTATGAATTATGCCGATTCAGTACTAAAGGTAGACGTTCCTTGTAATGTATGCAGCCTATTCCTACCAATTATTAAAAAATATTTATTTATTTATATTTGAGGAAACTCGACAGAATATCAATAATATTCCAATTGCAGAATTATACTTTAGATATATCTATAGAATTAAGACAATTTAAGAAATTTTCTTGACATATATTTTTTTATATAATACAGGTCTGGATGATGAGCAGCAGTATTTTGCTGACATCTTACTGGCGATTAAACAAGTAATGAGTTCCCATCTTCAAGATATACAGGAAAAATATCAACAGAAATTTGAAAAACTTGAAGAGGAACTAAAATCCAAAGATGAAGTCATCACACAACTAAAAGCACATATCTGCGAGTTGGAGAAAACAACGGAAGACTCCTTTACGCCAAGTGTAAGTTTATTATATACAGGGTGTAATAAAAAAACAATACTTTGATTGATTGACTGTAGATACTTATTTGTAATATCATATAGAATGTATTCTTGCTGTTTCCATATTTCTCTGCAAAATTAAAAATAATAAGAAATTTAAATATATATTTTTCTATATAAGCAACTCATCTCTTGTTTTCGATTTAAAAGGTTGTTTCTATATTTTTTCAAACTACCATGTGTAAAATTAGTAATTTACAGTATATATACCAGTAGCGGCTCGTGAAAATGAAAGTACATAGTAATTTCATAATAAAGCTTGGGACCTATTATACCATTTTTAGGAAATAATTTCATGGCACACAACGGGAAAAAACTCATAAAAAAATTGCGAAATAAAAAATTGAAGTAAGTGTTGCTGACCCTGATATTTCAGAAACTGTTTTTCGTCGACTACTTCTACTCAAACACTTGTTCGGGAGTAAACTGCCTCCTCCAGATCATGTTTTACAGTAAATAAAATTTATTTTTACAAAACTAGAAAACTCAGTGGAAACTCTCATGAAAATCCCAAGGAATTATACTTGTAAGTGATGTTTGTTTATATGACGATTGTAGGTCATTTTGAATTTAAATTTAGTTTAATTTACTTAACAACTTTGAAACTTTCAACGTCTCCTGAGTAACTGAATGAAATCTATTTTACGTTCTAACTTCTAAGTATAACGCAGCTCCTAGGAGTCAATTCAGCAAATGTTACTATTTCGACGACGAAAGCAATCATTATTTAAACTTTGTTGCAACCTCACTGATTACACCCTATGTAAATTATTTACTGAAAGTTTAATCTACTATGTTTTAAGGACTCTCTTGATACAGTGATCAGTAAGGAAAAACAATCATGGGAAGATCCCACTCATGAAGAACAAGAGGAACTCCAAGATTTGCCCCGTCCCATTCAAACCTGGTCTTCCCCTCCACATAATGTAGTACTGGATATTGATTCCACAGGTACATCATTACTTTTATATTTTTAGTGATTAAATAACAGGAATTATTCAACAAGTCTTTATAGAAATTACTTGTCATATTTTTTATATAGTCTTCCTGTTTTCAAACTGTTCATTAGCTTGTGGTTTTTTTTTACAAAAAATGTTTTTTTGCGCACCTTTTAATCAACTTTGTACCATTAAGATTGCCATGTTATTTCTGACCCTGCAGATGATTTTTAAGAGGTTCAAAAGAGATAGTATGATTGCACCAAGTTCAAATTTCAGAATGTGCTCAATGATTTTTTTGGTTAGTAATGATTACAGTGGTTTCGCAGCATTTTGATTGTTAGAAATGATATTTTCGGCTTTTCAAATCTTTTTTTATTTCACTTTTTGACTTGATTATTTAAATGAAGCTATCCTTGACGCATGGTCCATTTGTTTTGGGACACCATGTGTTAAGGAATAAAAGCTTGTCCACTTTGGGGCATTCATTTATGTTTTTCACAAAAAGGGTGGGTTTTCATTTGTGTAGAATGAATAATAATGTATAATAATATCAGCAAGATTCTCATTACATCACTTGAGGCGTCAGATGGCATCTGTTGGATCAACAACGTTTCTCTTTCTAGCTGGTAAGAAGCCTAAATGGTTTCTGATTAAGTAGGTGAATTTGTTGATGAGGCATAAGCACAATACTATGTGGGAAATGTAGTCTTGACGTAGTATTGAATTTTCAAGTATCAAACCATTATTTTTATGAGTTATTTGCTCATAATTTCTCTGATGATATGATCTACATTTTGAATGAATATCTGTTGGGTTGGAGGATTACGTATGAAAGCGGTTACAAAAAGTTTTCTGTAAAGGGCATCTACAAGTTTATGAATAAATAGACATAGCATGTTATAAATAAGGGGTACTCAGGAATATTATCTAAGCACTCTTATAACATCACTATTAGACGTTTTCTGTTTTTTAATGAACTCCTGATAAACTTATCTCTAGAAAAAATATTTTCATCATGACCTTCTGTGATTTCAGATACCGAGTCAGACATAGGAGAGACATCAGAAGCTGAACAGACTGACTGCGAATCAGGCGAATACGAAAACTCAAGTAATAACTGGGAAATCGAGTTGCTGGCAGCACAAATTCGTCAGCGCAGATCTGCAAGCCTGGACCACACCGCGGGACGACCTCTTCGTCAGAGGTTCACCAAGGGTTCATCGATGGACTCCAACAATGATTGATACATACAGATTTATCATATTGTGATAGGTGCCTACTAACAGGAAGAGTTTTTCCTAGGAATTTTTGTTTTCGTTAGGTTTTCTAGAGAAAATTCTTCGTTTGGAGTAAAATATTTATATAATAGCTGATTTGCACTCCTAAATGGAAACTACAGTGTAAAGACAAAATACAAATGGGATTTACATCCTGTGGTTCGTATTTAAAAACGTATTCTGTATTTTAGAGTGCAAATTACAAAGGAAGTAATCGAATTAGTACTTATTACTGTAAAACATCTAACTAATGATCTCGTCTTTATAAAATATCTAATTTATTACTAAAATTGGCCACTCTGTATGAAGAAACGTGTTGAATCATGTTAAACAGAGCGGAATTATTGGCAAATGCTCAAAAATAAATGCCAAAATCTAAGCGACGTATTAACCTGTGCCAATTATAAAAAGATGTGAGAAAATTGGAGGAAGATATTAACGATGAGCTAATCTTTAGCTTATCCTTCAAAATGTCAAATTTAAAAATGCTTATCCTTCAGTGAGTGATTTTTTACGAAGTAAATTGTTTTATATGAGCGATGGGTATTTTTAATAAATAATAACTTGCAATACTAACTTAACTAATGAAATAAAACAGTATTTAACTACAATAATATTGTATTGTAATAGAAAAATGACCATCTTAGGAAATGTAAAGTAAACAATTAATATAATGTAGATACAAATTAATATTAAATAATATAGTGATGAAATTGTAAATTATATAACATGATATTATTAAAAATAAAATAAATCATACAAATTATTTGCCTTTGTCTTGATAAATCCCAGAACTCATGTGTTGTAAAGGAAGCAAAGATAAAAATGACTGAAAATATATTCAGCTCAGAATACATAGGCTATTTCTGCAAATAGTGTTTCTGTTTCCTATTCCATGGCGTCCAATGCATTGGGCGCGATGGACATAACACATAACCTCAACACTTACTGACATTAATACTTAATATACTATAAATTAATTAATTAAATATTAATTAATATTTCTTAGTTACAAATGCAAAACAGAAGCAGATTTATTACCTATCCAATGTCACCATCAGCACAAGCTTGCATTATTTGCAAATGAAATATTTAAATCTGCAGTGGCGTCCCTCACAAAATTCTTTAATATTTATTAGACAGGGTGATCCAGAATTATGTGCAAAAAATGTGAGGATCAAATTGTTTAAACGATTTTAATAGCGGTCCTTCATATACATTTTTTTTATTTAAGCCTCCCTAAAGGACTTACGACCCCTTAAAGGGGGAAAAGGAAATTAAGAACCGAAATTTGGCACGATATAAAGCTTCTTCTAGACAAGTAATTTTTATTATCCTCGTCCTATTATAAGACATTGAAATGAACTACCCCTTGCACATTTTTCATTATATTTTTTTTTTGAGTAAATTTTTTTGATTCAATTTTTTTTTTTGAACGCCTACATTTAAAATTTTTTTGCTTCTGAATTTTTTCATAAGTATTACAGGTTTTGAGTAAAAGTTCTGAAACATACACACATATAGTCTCCTTTTCTAGTCTCGTAGTTTCCCATAATTTTCTACTTGATGACAAAAAGTTTAAAGAGGCAAGAACATTCCTAAATTTAATAAGTGTTCAAAAAAAAAAGTTTTTTATCGAAAAAATGTACTTGAAAAAGAATCTAATAAAAAATGTGCAGATGGTAGTTCATTTCAACGTCTTATAATAGGATGAGGACAATAAAAAAATACTCGTCTAGAAGAAGCTTTATCAGCCTAAATATCATGACAAATTTTAGTTCCTAAATTTCAAACTGGAAAAAATTTCAATTTGGAAATAAATAAAACTTTACATATACCCCTTTTAAGGGGTCGTAACTCCTCTAGGGGGCCTTAAATAAAAAATTTTTATATGAAGGGCCCCTATTAAAAGTGTTTAAACAATTCACCGTCAAATTTTTTGCACATAATTCGGGATCACCCTGTACATAAACAGGGTGTGGCGTGTATAATCTATAAAAATTAAACTACAGCTTCCTAACGATATTTGTAATAGAAAAGTCTTATACGAAAAAGTTTAGGGAATATTTTGAAGCGTATATCTCATTTTTCATCAAAAACGGATTTAAGGGGTTTTGATATTAGAGAACTCAAATGTCTTGTCTCAGAATAGCTGTCAACTAAGCGAGGTTATGTCTCTCTACTAGTGATGGGAGATTTCGAGTGAAAAATCGAGTGGTACTCGATTATTGAGATCACTCGAGATATCTCGAGATGTTTACTCCCACCACTCGAGTGATTTTTACCCTACGGTTGCACCCCAAAATGTTAGTGCATACTGCAAATAGTCACTGATTGCGTTACCTTTTTTTTAGAATAAAACGAAAAAGTGGTTAGGTTTTGAAGTGCGTGAGCTTTTTTTTTTTTTTTAGCTACGCTTATAAGTAATATATGACTAATACAAACATATTTGTGCGTCGCTGGGATGAAAACGACCAATATCTCGTATCTCGAGTGATCACTCGATTATTAGAAGTACTCGATTACCGATAACTCGATTATCAAAATTGGTCGATTATGCCCATCACTACTCTCTACTCCGCTAACAGAATCACGGAGCGTGGTGATAGTTCAGCAGGGTGGGAAGGCAGGATGTTCAATCGTATATTTTGTCGACGAATATTCCCCCAAGATCGCGGTGTTATAACCTATAACCATGCCCGTCTGTCGTACTTCCAAAATCTTATATTTTCCAAATAATCGTAATAATAAGACGATGAGAGACCAGCTCAAAGAAGCCTAAAAAGTAGATTAATATTTCGATGTGAATATTTTTGAATTCCCAAACCACCACAGAAAATTATTCAAAGAACAATTCGTACCCAACTAAGTGAGCTTCTCCTCGTGAAATAAAATCCAGCACAGCTGCTTACGGGATAAAGCCTATATAAATATTATTAACAAAATCCAACTTCCACGTTGATTAACTTTCCAAAAGTTACACAATTGTTAATAATATCTTTCAACGAGCTAATGAAGTTACGAAGCGATCCCTTCAACGGTTGAGATTTTAAAGAAAGAACTGACGTATGGAATATGGAATTTTAAGACAATGGTCACGTGACTTAGATTTATTCGTTTTGATACAGAGTAAATTGAACCGTTTCACTATACCCTGGTCATCTATTTGAAACTGTTAATAGAGATAGTATGTGGGGATATTTATTTTGTGTCACTAATCTAGTATCGATTGTCATAACATACTAGCTAGCTAACTGTATTTTTAGCTCCGATAGGAACTTTCAAAGAAATTTGTCTGTACTACAGAAGTCGAGGAGAATAAAGATGAAAATATTACAACCTTTACAAAGTAGCAATTCTTTATTACAATTTATAATTGATACAGTTTGTAATATTGCATTAAAGTAAAAATTTATTTGCATTACATTTTACTTGAAAAACTACTAGGCTATTGTATAATTTGTCTATGTATTACAGTACAACACGACGAAAAATCATTTTATTCAGGGAAATTTATGAAATATTCCTTTTTTAAATATTTTAAGTAATTTTAGGTAACTTACTATTTTTATTTTCAACTTATGCTTAAATTTCCCACAATTACTTATAATTCTGCCCTAGTGACAGACATTTTTATAATTAAATACTTAAATTAGTAAATTTGTTGCAACATAGTAAATTTAATCAATTATAATTATATAATCTAATTGCAAAGGAATGTACGTAATACAAGCAATACATATAATTTAATGAGGCACTATTTTTTAATAAACAACAACATGGTGATCGGCAACTTAAATGTGAGGTGTTAATTTAAATAAAAACAGAATTCAATAAACTTTTATTTTTAAAATGCTTAGAATGCTTAGAAGCAAAAAATTATATCTCAATAAAACATTTTTACTAAACAGATTTGGGAATGACAAAATAAATACCAGCTCGACGGCATTTCTTACAAAAATTGACTAGTTCATAGCAATAACAATATTTATAACAATAAATTATATTTAAGAAAATCATTACAAAGCAACTCACGTGATTTGTCCCACCGTGCAGCGATTCCAATCAAATATAAAGTCGTTTTTTAATTGTTGATGTTACTGGAGAATGTACTCATAAAACGAATTTGCCGCTTAGTCTAATTATTGAATTATAGATAAAATAAATTTTGATTTTGCTCTGAATATCCCTTAACTAGGTAAAATATATCTGTTTTGTAACTTATAACTATATTAAGATCACAATTAGGTCAACATTTGGTTTAAAAAAACGAAATCCATATGTAACTAATCCCCATTTACTTCGTCCTCGTGGGCAAACTTTAGGAAAACCTGCTCCAGAGTCGTCTGGCTGAAACTGTACTCTTCTATGTCTAGTTCGACTTTCGCTGCAAAGAAACGATTGTAATACTATAAAAATAACGTCTCAATAGTGTTGTGCAAAGATAGTGCCATTTTTATCTAAATAAATGGATAAACCTCAAAATTATTATCTAGATACGAATAATAGAAAATTATTTAACTTTCAGGATTATTTCTCTGGTCAGAATAAGTAAATGAACAGTACTAATTAATTTGTCGCTAAAACCAATCCTAAGGGCTTTATGGTTCTTCAAAGAATGGATGTAAAATTAAATTTTTGACAAACTACACAAAAAAACATTGAAGATATACCTAGATTTCGAATTAATATAGCTAATTTATGATAGTTTCTTTCATGTACATTTTTAATAAAAACTAGCCTGTAACGATCGTAGAAATTGGATAGCCAGACTCAGGTGGATGCCGTGTACACCGATTGCAATGTCAGGTTTTCCTCAGGAATCACATTTGGGGCCATTACTATTTTTAATCTGTATCAACGATATCCGTCACTGTTTCAAATTTTTTAGAATTTTACTCTACGCAGACGATTTGAAAATTTACTCTCAAATAAATAATGCCGATAGTTGTATTGCCTACCAGGAGGATTTAAACTCTTTTTTTGAATACTGTAAATTAAACAAGCTCCAATTAAATTTAAGTAAATGTTTCCATATTTGTTTTACCCGTAACACAAATTTGTTTTACCCGTAACCGAAATATATACTATATTAATTATAACTTTAATGAGAATATTTTGAATCAAGTTGAAGAAATAAAAGATCTTGGGGTTATCTTTGATAGAAATATGTTTTTCTTCACATATTGATTACATAACTTTAAAAAGCAACAAAATGCTTGGTTTCATTGTCAGAGTTTGCAAAAATTTTGTCGATTTTTGCTTTTAAATCTATATATTTTGCATATGTGCACAGCATAATCATTTGCATCTATTGTGTCCTCAATATTCCATATATAAGTCTCGACTTGAGACCATACATAATAGATTTATGAAATATTTACACTACAAGGAGAGTGGTGTGTTTTCTTTTTATTATTATTGTAGCTGGATGTTACGAAATCATTACCATATTATTTCATTGGAGAATCGAAGAATTATTGCCTAAGCAGTATTTTTATATAAGCTTCTTAATGGTTTTATCAATTCTCCAGATTTATTAACCCTGATCGGTTTACATGTACTACAACATGACTTTAGAGCAAATGCACTGTTTCATGAGATTTTTTATCGAACCAATTCTGGTCAAAACACTCCTATAAACAGAATATGTTAGACATTTTAAATTGTATAGTACTCTAGATATCTTTCACTCCTCGCTAATTAGTTTTAAAAATCCTTAAAGGGAACTATTATTGTAAACTAACATTTTCTATTATAGTAATTATTTCCGTACTGCTATATTTAATTGGCTTTATTTTGTGGACATCGTTTTGGGCTATAAAGATTGTGTTTGTCCCTTTCTCCATAAATAAATCTGATTTGTGCAAATAGCCGATTGTCTGTCAGACAAATTGCAGAGGAGGTCGGCATCTCAAATACTACTTTTATATTTTATCCACTTTCACTACAGATGAAAAAACTTAATATAAGACAGTAAGAAAGTTAATTCGTAGGAAAATCATTTAGATGGGGTACAATTTAAGCACACCTGGTATAGTTGATTTATCTAGATAAAACAATATTGATAATGCACAACACGGCTCGCAAACAATCTTATAAGTATACCTTTTTCAAGCTGCATAAAACAATTGGCTAGTGACGGAACGCTCTGCTGAGGCACGCTGAACACTAATCTGTCTGCGAAGCTTTCTTGGAGAGTCGCATCCAAGAACAAGGCTGACACGAACTCCCTCAGTTCATTGTGGCGGTCGCCGGAATCGGAAGTGGGAGTGGAATCGCCACCTCTCAATTTCATTTCTAAAGTGTAACCGGCTCCATAGAGGTTCTTGAGATGCTGCGTGGAACCGAGGCATCTGAAAAATCAATTTATCCAAAACATCGTTTTGTACGACTTTATGTGCAGGATAGGATGTAAAAGTGCAAAATTGTCTCGCCATACTTAGAGAAGTTGGGCATTGGGACATCATTCGCTAATAGTCGCGAGATTTTGAAAATGATTTTGATATAAATAATTTATTGTATACACACCTTAGTTCACCTTTCACCATTATGCCCACTCTTGAACATAATGCGTCGGCTTCTTCCATTGAATGTGTTGTTAATATAGCTCCCCTGGATCCCTGAAACAAAATACGTCACTAATAATAATTTAATGACTTAAACTCAATAATGAAACACCCATAGTCCTGATTCTGGGAATGCCAACTAACCATTTAGACACAGTACAGGTTTAAAATGGAAGGTCTCGTAGAAAATGTCGCCTTTTAAAGCCAATCTTGTCTAATATATGGAGAGCTCAAAGACGAAAACAAGTTGAAGCTCTAGCAAGGATTGGAAATTAGGAAAGGTGTAGCTAAGCATGAGAGACATCAGGGCAATGAAAAAGCTGATGAGTTTGCCAGAGAAAGCCCATTTGCATACCATGCAGCTGTGCTTCCTGCGTTATTAAATCACTCATGTAGGAATGGGTGAATGATAAGATCTGAAACTGGTAGCAAGTTATCTTTAGAAAAAAGCTAGCCAAGAAGTTCTCATAAAGGACCTGCTGAACTTGATCCTAGAAAAAATAAGAATCTAGATATTGTAGAACTCAGGAAACAGTGAACTTAAGAAGAATTGAAAAGATCAGGCTGGGAAAATGTTTCAGGAAAATAATCACGTCAAGTATAAGTCTTCACTAACTTGGGTGATTGTAGCAAGAATACAAAAGTAAAGACTAGTTTTCAGCTACCGAAAATTAAATGACAAAAGCTATGGAAGACCGTCTCATTACTGAACGTATTGTTATTATTGGTTTCATTAGACAAATTAGGTCTAATATAATACAATTATTTCACAACATTTGATTAGCTGGCTGGTTCACCGAATAGAACTACACCCAATTCTTTAAAAAAACTGCGTTTAATGCTGAACCAAGGCACTACGAATTCACAAGATAGCCCTTCGGTCTAAAAAACGCTCGAAGTACCTTCCAAAGGGTTACAGAGATTTTAGAAGATTTGTAAAACTAAATTTGTTTAGTATATTTGGACCATTTTGGTGCTGCATGTATTGGCATCTTGGAAACTATAAGAGGTAAGAAAATGGTTAGATGGGGAAAGTCTTAGACAGATCTGTTGCTATCTAAATGACGCTTGCAGATCGATCTTCAGGTTTTTCAGTTATTATGAAAAAATGCATTTTCGAAAATCATTTGTAACTTGTAATTTAGAGGAATTTTTAAAATCTCAAAACACTTTTTCACAGCAAGTTTTTTCGAGGAATTTTACTGTATGTATATTTAGATTTTCATTGATATGTTTCGGTTACGAGAAACCATCATCAACTCTCTTTTTTCTTATGGGCGCCATATTGAATTTTAAGCTGAGCAAATAGAGCATTTTTTTGTCTTTCGAATCGTACAATATAAGAAAAAATTTCAAAAATAACCTGAAAATCAATATATTAATATTTTTAATAAATCTGGCAACACCGCATAATTTTTCGAGACTTTTTGTAAAACCTTATCATTAATGTTATGGCGTTGAATGAAAAAATAGTAGTAATGGCCACGTGTTTACGAAAAAAAGCCCCATTAGTACTATGAATCTCCATGACGATAACAATAATACGACGATAACAATTTGTTTCAAACTGCTTGTCATTTTGAACTATGTATTGTTAATCATAGAGTTAATTGTTAATAGTTAGTGTTACTTATATTGCTTACAGCATATCCGTTGGAATCTTCTGGTGCTGGTTCTGGATCTTTGTATGCCTATAGATATACTGCACGTAATAATGACTTATTATTTTATTTTTCAATGCCTGTTTAGTACATGAACAACTAACATATATAACAAAAAGTACAATGACCGAGCTTGTCTACAAAAATTCGACAGAATATTGACACTGGCACTCTCGTCAAAATAAGAAGAAGAAAACAGTTTGGGATCAAACAGTTAGAGTGGCACTTGCTTTAAAATTGGAAAAATGGCTTTGCGTTATTCCAATGAAGAAAAATATTAATAATGCCTCAGTTATTATTATCTTTCATAGTTCTTAGCATATAGCTTTTCAAAACTTCCAAACATTCTCAAATTTGTAATAAATTTAGAAAAATTTATTTCATTTGGTGGTTGTCTTTCGGGGCAATTTCCATATCACATTTTTCTTCATTGGAATAATGTAAAGCGTAATTTTTTCACTCAACATTAATGATAAGCTATTACAAAAATTTGAGACTATTCTATAATAGTTTCGAAAAATTACGCGTTGCTGCCAGATTTACTAAAAGTATTAAAATATTGATTTTTGAAGTTGTTTCTGAAATTTTTTCTATACTTACATAATAACATTGAAAAGACAAAAAATGTTGTATTTGCTCAGCTTAAAATTCAATATAGCGCTCATCAGAAAAAAAAAAGTTGATGATGATTTCTCGCAAACAAAACGTCGCAATGAAAATCTAAATATACAGTGAAATTTCTCGAAAAAACTTGCTGTGAAGCTGTGTTTTTAGATTTAAGAAATTCCTCTAAACAAAAAAGTTACCGACGATTTTCGAAATCGTCACATTTACTTTTTTTCAAAATATATCAAAAAACTAAAGAGCTAGGCCGGTCTATAAGCGCCAATAAGTTAGCAATAGAACTGTCTAAAACTCTCCCCATTTAACCATTATCCTATCTCTTATAGTTTACAAGATACCAATACATACATCACCAAAATGGTCCACACGGTATATGGATTATAATTTTGACATCTTCGTAAAGTGCTCGAAGCTTTTGAAAAAGAATACCTCAAGATTTGACGAATTTATTGGACATGCAATTACTTCACATGGCGTAAGGAACAAATCCTAATCCTAAATTAAAGTTATAACAAATGATCAGACTCCATATCAAAGTTATTTTAGATGCTTTTATTTTTTATTACAAATGACTTAAACGCTTTATCTCAAAAAAGAAGGAAATAATCATTATTCTAGCATTTCTTGACTTTGAAAATAATTTACCACTTGAACCCAAATACACGAAGCTACTTAATCAAACTCACTTTCTTGCCGAGATAAATATTTATAGCACTATGACAAAATAATTGCTTGCGACTGTATGGGCATGTAAATATTTTCGGCCTTAAATTTTTTAAAGAAATTTATTAATCAGGTTAATCAACCTACGATTCTATACACAAAAATATATATATTGTATTGAGCAAGTATGAAAGCCTACTAACGATGTACTTTCTGCTGTTCAAAAGAAGAACACTGAAAAATATCACTATCAAAATTGTGAAGCCTAACTTAACTAGAAGGCTACAGTTACAAAAATGAGGAACTCTACGATTATGGATGAAATCAGTAGATCTACAGATGGCTACACAGTCGAAAAAAATGGTGTATTCACTCCATATATTTACAATCTACAATCTGTAAATCTGAAAACAAAAGAAACATTTATGAAGACCAGGAAACTTACCTGGAAACTAGCTAAAATGGTGTCCCACAAGAACCTCTTACTCCTTGGATCCATGCCGGTGCTGGGCTCATCCAAAAGAACAACTTTCGGATTTCCCACCATGGCCATGGCGAAGCTCAACTTCCTTCTAGTTCCACCTGAACACTGCTGAGTTTGTTTATCGGCGTGTTCGTGGATTTGAAGGCCGCTCAAATATAAATTTACGATATTTGATACATTACTGTAAGGTACGCCTCGAATGGCCGCATAGCACTCCAAGTGCTCTCTTACGGTAATATTTTTCCACAAAGCGTCGTGCTGAGGACAGTAACCCAGTAACTGAAAGGCGGAGTTCATGTTGGATGTGATGCTTTCACCACCGATTTGTACCTGTTGGAAGATTTATTAGCTAAACAAAGACAGGTCGTAGGATATCGGCACACCTTTCCTCTCGTTGGTGCTTCTTCTGCTGTTATTATTTTCATGGTGGTAGTTTTTCCGGCACCGTTATGCCCTAACAGACCGAAGACTTCGCCAGCGTCTACTGCAAGGGATAAGGATTTCACTGCTACTTTTCTTGATTCTCTTTCTTCATCTGATTTGCAACAGCATTCACATATTTTTAGTTCATGTCTGATATATTCCTTGTGAAGATTCTACAATTTTTAAAACAGTTATTTATGCAAGTGAATGAAAAAATATACTTTACACATGAGTTGCATAGGTACAATATTTATTACTACTGAAAAATATCTTTATAAACAATTTATTTATGCATTAATGCAGATGCCAATATCGTTTTACGCATTATGTCTAAAATGCAGGACAATTTAAACAAACTGCATCTTAAAATGACACCATCGAAAAGATTTAATTAAAATTTACACATAGGACATTTATCAACCTTGGATTTTAATTTTGACAGCTCCTATTCATATCAAAATGAAACAGTATAATGCACAAAAGTTCACAATTTAGAACATTTAAAATTTTCGTCTGTGCTTGTATCCGACAATTGTTCTTTACGGTCCTGAACAAGATCGAGAAGAAACCAGGTGCATAATCCTGCCTGATTTTAATAAAAAATATATATTTTTAATTTACAAAAACTTACTGCCGAATGAAGCAAATTTTAAAATTACATACAATAAAGGAGGGTACGAAGCGATCTATCGAGTTCGCAAAAAAAGCTTTGAATACTACAGTAAGGAATCTCTGACTACTTAGTTAGGAATACTCTGATTATAGATTAAAGAAGTCTCCTTTAGTTGTCACTGTTGCTGCTGCTGTACATTTTATTACTGTCGTTGTTCCTGCTGCTGCTGCTGCTGGTGTTGTTGTTGTCGTTGTTGTAGCTGTTGTAGATCAATAGCGTCAATAACAACGACGACAACGGCAGTGATAACTACAACAACTACTACTGCAACTTCTACTACTACTACTTCAACAACGACAATAACAACAACAACAGAAGCGGCAGCATTAGCAAGATGAGTATTGAGTTCGCAAGGAATGCTTGGCAAAATTGTTCTGAGTACAGAATCGTGTTCGGTGTTCCAATATTCGGTACATGACGTTAGTAATATTCTTTGCAAATGACCTGCTTCTATTCAATTTTTTCATGCGACTCCTCAATCGTCTGAAATTCAGTTTTGTACACCAAAGATTTTGATAGTTCCCATAGGTAGAAATCGCATGGATTTAGGTTTAGTGATCGTGCACATTATATTGTATCCAATCAACCTACCTTTAAAAAAATTGCGAATTTCATGTTTTAAGTATGATGGAGCACCATTATGAAAACAACCGCATGCTGTGTTGAAGTAGTACATTCTCCAACATGATAGGTAAATCATTTTATGCCAAATGTAAATTGTAGGCGGCAGCTAATTCATGTGGTAAAATCAAGGATCTCCATTAACAATTTACACTCGGAAGCTTGGTTTTTATGGAGATTTTCCTTGTATCACATGTGGTTATTATAAAAGTTGTTTACTCTATCTTGTGTATATGTACGTTGCGTCAACGCATATTTAATTTTTCAATCTCATTATTTTAATCTAATAATGATTAACAAAAACGAACCTTGGCAAGATGTTCTGCTCGTTGCAATACTTGTACGTGTGTGGAGTTTGCCAAACTTTACTTCGGGATGTATTAACATCACGAGAAATTTAAGTGTCAGTGGTACTAGTAACTTGATGTTCTTCGACAATATCGGAAGATCTCGTAGCTTGTCAGTATCATATACTCTGTGTGATAAACAAATTTTGGGATCTGAGATGTGTCCTATTAGGGCAGAGCTCAGTATAGAGCCCAGATGCTTGTATAACATTTTGAAGACATTCGCCATAAATTAAAATCATATCCTCAAGTTCGTTATTATTGTATCCGTGTCATTTTTGCGAACATATTTGTACCATTTATAAAAAAAGGTTTATAAATAATAATGTCACAATTAGACTAACACATAAATTAACACCAACACACCGAAAACTCAAACCAAAACTCAGAATAAAAGCGATTTTTTAAATGTGTAAGAGAGATGATGTTGGAAATGGCAGCAAACACTGATTAACTGTTGCAAGGTAGTGCGAATGTATAATTAATAACACAAGCCGACAAAAAAAAAAATTGTTTTACAACATGGCAGTGACGTGACGTATAGGTAGGTTGGATGGCCAGTTTGGATTTTTTGAATTTTTTGGGGGGAATTGAGGGTATGGGGGGGACCTAAGTGTTATATTTTTTTTATCATTTTCGGATTTAGCGGAAAATTTTACTAAAGATAGGTGGGTTGGACGACTAATTTGGATTTTTTGAATTTTTGAGAGTATTGAGGGTGTGTGGGGGGAATCCATACGTCAGAATTTTTTTTATTATTTACGGATTCAGAGGAAAATTTTACTAAAAATAGGTAGGTCTGTAAAACAAATTTTTTTTATGGCCTGTTTAATTAAAGAACTGGTCTCAGAAATTTCATTAACTTGAAGAGTGAATATATCTGTTACTATAAAACATTTAATCACTATAATGTTGTGCTTATGGTGTTGTGCTTATTGTGAGTTTATTATTGAAGTTACAAAAAAGTTTTTAATACAAAAGTTTTTTATGAATTTTTATAATACAGTATTAGAAAAAACAATTGAATAATGGAAATCACTAAATTTAAGAAACATTTTTTTTAATGGAACACCTTATATATTAGTTCATACTTAGCTTCGTAAAATTTTTCTCTTTTCAAAAATTAATATTGTGTTACTGTTTAAAAATTTAACGAAGCACTAATAAATAGGATGTTCCATTTAAAAAAAATGTTTTCTTTAATTTAGTGATTTCCATTATTCAATTGTTTTTTCTAATATTGTATTAGAAAAATTCATAAAAAAAGCTAAAACTTTTGTATTAAAAACTTTTTTGTAATTTCAATAATAAACTCACAATAAGTTGGCAGATTATAGTGACTAACCCTGTAGATAACAAAGATTCGATTACCTGAACCATAACAACAGGGGGATTCACCGTATGACAATTCATGAGATTTTTCACTTTTTGCCTTTCAGTCTTCACATCTTGATCCTCATTTTCTCCTATGTCACTCAATTCGTTTGAATCTTCTGCATTATCCTGTGGCTTGCTCTAAAAGATAATAATTTATTATCAATCAAACAATTAATTGTCAGATCTTTACTTTACAAATATTTACCTTGTTAAAATTGAAAGCGTCCCGAATCCGCCCTCCACTTTTTTTAATATCAATTATGAGAAGCATGAAGAACCAAAATGGAATGTGCAACAATATTCCGATGACCATTACTATGATCTCCTGAGTCACGTAGTCGCCTAAGGTAAGCTCTGTGCAGGCAATATTGACTTTGCACATGATGTATACCCTCTGAACGTAATAAACGATAGCGTACGGTATGTACATCGTATTTAAGAGGGAGAAGATGACGTGGAGGACAAACGCTGCCTTTCCGCCTGAAATCAATCGTTGTTTATAGTGATCAACCATCAATCAAGGTCTGGATTATGGTAATATGGGTTTTCTGGTGTCTACAGACTGCAGATAAATCACTATTGTTGTAGAGGTAAAGAAATATCTCATGTTGCAAATGGGAATTTGGTACAAAACAGAAAATGACTTCTCCACATTCTTTACTAAAGAAATAGAGCGAACTTTGTTATGTGCCTATTTTGTTCCAAATTGTAACAGCTTATCTACAGTTGCATGACGCTCTACAGCATTTTTCCTTCCGTGTAGTAATAAGTAACTTACCAATCCTTAACATATCGAGGAATATAACCAAGAAGAAAGGTATGCAACCCAGGAACGTGGCTATATTCGGTAATATTGACTGAGCAGAATCAGTTTTGTCAAATATATAACTGACGCAGGTGCTAAACAGTATAGAGGCAGGGCAGTAAATTAACGTCAAGAATCCCAACGTAATCAAAGCCGGCCAGTCCCTCAGAGATGGTATGTCCGATATTAAAATGATAATCAGCAGCACGGCACAAATCAGGATCATGATTGCTGCCAACACTGTGAAGTAAGTTATGAAGTACATCGAGAACGACAGGCCGTTTACTCTGAGCTGGTTTTTTGCCTTTATCTGAAAGAGGATGGAGTTATTAAAATAATTTAGTAAATGTAAATAATTTTGCGCACTTCTCTGTCATATACCATGTCGATTGCTAGACTGACAGGTACCAGCACGAAAATCATACCCATGAACGTAGTAGCGGAAAATATTCCGATCTTAAATCCTTCAGGTTGGGAGGTTTCTTGAAATGGTTGCGCCTTTATTTCGATAGCGCTAGTCTTTCCTGGATTTAAAATTCTGAAAAAGATACGTACAATTTGTAAGTGTTGTTATACCCGTTTAATTGAAAATAAGCAAAAAAGTAGTAGTTGATCTAAAACGATTCTAAAAGATCCTAAGGGAACATCTGATTCTTTAATCAACGACAGATGAAGTTACAGCCTTCAAACTAAGTTTAGATTTTAAACTACGTGACATAGCGTTCTTTTAGATTTGCAGAAACAATTTCAAATCAAAAGCTGTGTATTTCTAGAGCTTTGTTTATGCAATTTACAGGAGCAAGTAAAGTTTTTTTCTTATGAACCATGGGCTTCATGTCTTTTGTTTTTGAGATACAGTGCGTCAAAGACGATTTTTTAAAATCATTTTTTGTTCAGTGTTCCATTGAAATTTGTTCAAATTTTTGGAGATGCTAAATACATTACTGTTGTGGATTTTTGGTCACCTACACATTAATAACTCTCTTTGTGTGTCATTTCATTTACGTGTAAATTCCATTTTGCATAAAAAAGGATTCTTTTTGATATTGCTGAAAATGCTCTGTTTGGTGCAACGAACTTAATTCGTTAATGTGCAGAATATCCAGAAACGAAGGAACATGTTTCAAATGTAGTTCCTTATACAAAAATAAACCTATTCAGATCAAGTTACCTTGACATAATTTCGTTTCCTTAAAATGGTATGGGCCTTCAAAGAAATGAAATAAAACAATATTTTTTTGGGAATAATTTGAGCTTAATCTGTTTATTTTCTTCGGCCCACCAGGAATAGCCACCTTTGAAGCATGCCCATTCTTTTCTGGACAACTTGTACATTAAGAAATAGAAGCTAATTAACTTAACAATTAACGGGACGTTCAACTGCACTTCTCTAAAAAAACTGTGGATTTTCAGAGATTTTCAAGAGTTCTCTTTTGTGTAATATAAAATTTTGCATTATAACATATAACATACACTGCGAAAAAAGTTATGCTGTAAAATGTTAGTTACTAGAGCTGTTCGAAATTACAATGCAAAAAAATTGATTATTGTGAGATATATGGTCAAAATTTGATTTTAAAAAGTTATTCTCGACATCATATATCAGAAACAAAAGATGAAGAGGCTATGGTCCATAAGAAAAAAACATCTAGTTTTTTAATGTTTTGTTATTTTGCAATCATTCCTGGAACGCTCTTTATAATTCTATTCCGATAACAGAACACTTTTTGTGTTTTTTGACATGCTTTTTCTAAATCAACATAGTTTTCCGAAAATGCTACAAGCATTTTTTGTAATATAATTTGTTTTATTATCTCTGCCACTCTGCAGAAGAAGAAAATTATTCCCCCTTGAAGTTATTTAAGAAAATGTACTTTTGGCAGCACACCTTAATCACTGTGTACCCTATAGTCTATCTCGTGTTGCAGTTTGGCCGCATGTTTTAAAATATTTCTATGATAAACTACCAAATTTAAGATCAGTGTTTTCAACTATTGTTGAGTAATCAATTAAGACTAGGTTGAACATCCCTTAGAACCGTTTTAGAAAAAATATTACTTTTGCTTTTCATTTCTTGAATGAATAATGAAAAGAAAGTTATCACAACGTTCTACACTCTGGCTGTCCCAAAATTCATGCAAGATTTGGATTTTGTATCATTTCTGCGGTAAAGCATTGTCAACAAAAAAAAAGACAGTGTGACATTACCGAAAGAACAACGCCATTTCATTGTTGAGCAATATTTTGAAAATTGTGAAGATTTAGCAGCAATTTTCTACAAAATATCGTCTGAATATTGATTTAACTTCATCTGTGAAGAAATTAACAGAAAAATTTGGGGAGACTAGATACTTAACATTTTGGGCCTGTTAGCCGTACTCGTACATTATTCAACATATCAACATAAAATAAAACAAAATCGTACGTGTGGGGTAAACCTTTAACTTTAAGTAAACAATTGTTTAAATTTACTAGTTGCATATTTCTGATAGTATACAAGCGCCGAAGTGCGGAGATGCGGAGCTCGCACTCGAAAATGAAACCCAGGGCCCGAGAACTTATACTTGAAAATATGGGGACACTGGGAACCACAAAACATATAATACAAGAAGGTCGTTTTCATAATACCAAAATCGAAACACCACTGACATTAAAAGACAACAACTGGCTCCCTCACTGTGTCTGGCCGCCCAAAAAAATGGAACTAAAGATAGCCGAGACGATAATGATGATTACTTTATTATCTACCGCCGGTAAAACAGATGCCAATTTGCGCGGGCTTCTGAAAATACATTCTAAGGGTCGTATATGACACTATACTAAAATTAGAACTAATTTCAGTAATTAATTAAGAACTTTTTAATCAGGCATAGTATCATCCACAAATTGCAACAAAAATGTTGCAGTTTCTGTATGATACTATGCAAGATTAAAAAGTTCTTAGTTAATTACTGAAATTAGTTATAATTTTAGCATAGTGTCATACGACCCTAATACTACTTCCTTTTAATATTAAAAAATATATACGATATTACGATTTATAATGGTAAAATCGTATTTTACTCGTTTAAATAAACATAAAAAAAACTGCAAAATTTATAAAACAGTATTTATTAGCAATTTTAATGTGGTTATTAA